TCGAGAAATACTGTACTAGTGTAACAGACGGATAGTACAAATATTTTACAGTTGCTGTTACCATTCAACGGTCGCTTATAATGAATGTCAAAATGTTTTTTTGTCCATGATCAATTAATTTAACTCATAGTACAATTACTTGAGAGAGTAAATTTAGGCCACTTCGAGAACAATATAATATAAAGTGTCTAATAAATCAAATATCATGGTACTGTACAATATCAATTTCCCTAATACAATAGTTGGTAAGGGGCGGTGTTGACACTTAACATCAGATTGAGAAAAAAACCCAAACTCTGACAACATTTTGGGCATGTACACTTGTGGGTGCCACTAAGACAGCAATGCACACAGGCCATGCACCTCCATAGCCAGTGCACCTTTCTTGTTTTTACCCTTTATGCCGGACTATTTTACTCCTGATGGAAGGACACTTGTTGACAGTTTTAGCTAGATGATTTTGATTCCTCTCTAGTGATAATTTCACTGCCGTTTGTTGAAAACAAGCAATACAGTATATACATTTGTGAATTTTGACCTACTTCAGAATTATTAGGGTCATGTATCAGTAGTAGCACTTGCAGTGCAGTACGTATATATTAAGTGAATATAAAATTTTTGTCAAATAATGTGCCAGCTCATGTTCAACAAACAACTGAATCTACACAATAACTGTGAATGTATATTGATAAGCTTATGTTTCAACAAATGAAAATTGATTTAACCCATTGAGCTGCAGAGCTTCCCCATTGACGAGTAAAATGTCTGGCATTGAACAAGTAAAAAAAAAAAGTAGGGCACACTGGGGCGCATTGCCGCTCAATGGGCTAACTGGAGATATAGTCATATTTTTTGGTTAACCCATTAAGCTGCAGAGCTTCCCCATTGACAAGTAAAGTCGTCTGGCGTTGGACAAGTACAAAAAAAAGTAGGGTGCACTGGGGCGCATTGCCGCTCAATGGGTTAAAACATCTGCATGCATGCATGATTTAACCCATTAAGCTGCAATGCGCATATTTGCCACAGTACGCCCTACTTTTTTTGACAAATGCCAGACGATTTTACTTGTTAATGGGGAAGCTCTGGAGCTTAATGGTTTAACCACAAATTTGACAATGTCTCAAGTTAATTAACCCATTAAGTTGCAATTGCCCCAGTGCACCCTACTTATCTTTTTTTGAGAAACACCAGATGATTTTAATTGTCAGTGAGGAAGCTCTGGAGCTTAATGGGTTAACCACAAAATTTGACAATGTCTCAAGTTAACCCATTAAGGTGCAATGCGCAACAGTGCACCCTACTTATCTTTTTTTGACAAACACTGGACCATTTTACTTGTCAATGGGGAAGCTCTGGAGCTTAATGGGTTAATTGAATCAAATACTGTACAATAAATAATATACATTTGAATAATATGTATATGAGTACACTTATTTACAGTATAGTTTTCATTTCACCAAAGCAAACTTTTATTTGACGATTCTCACCCATGTGTGTCTATTTTGTCGTTATCAAAGAAACTTTGCTAGTGTATAAGTTTATTATTATTTTATTAGTTTATTTACCCACAAATAATATTTACAAGTTGAATATTTAAGAATAGTATATAAACGGGCTAGAGACCTCTGGAAATCCTGTTGGACTTTTAAGACGAGGCCTAAAACTTAATAAACCTAAGATAAGGAAAAAAATAAAGATAAAGCCTAAACTTAAGATAAGGCATAAACTTAATAAACTAAATATTATATATAATTATATAGCCCTTATAATTACATTTGCTGTCAATTTCCCTTAATACTTATAACCGTATTTTATTAATCTGCAGCATTCACTACATATGAAACTACAAACAACACAAATGCTGTGTACAAGTTGTTTACATGAAAGACTGACTCATGCATGGACATGAATTTCTCATCCTGGTGCGCCCGCTCCACGCGTTTAGTTTTTCAACTTATAAACTATGAAATATACCTTCCAGGTTTGCTGAAATAAATTTCTCATTGCTGATCACTGTTTTGCATTTGTTTATATCTTTTTTTTGATCTTGCAAAAGAAAAAATATGGGAATACAGCAGGTCAAACTTGCAATATTTGGTTTTCAATGCTGCCACTTTGTTTGGTTTTGTTGTGCTAATCCATTACGTTGTTAATTTTTACCAGGAACATTGTTGGCACTTGTTTCATCACGAAAGTCTATGGTTTGAATGAAAAACAAACCAGGAAAGTTAACCCGGAACACCGTTTTAACTCAAATAGTGTTATTTTCCTGTTAACCAGGAATTTTTAACCAGAGTGTTTTTAGAGTGTAGAAGACCCAACCAAAGTGTACGAAAGCAATACGTGCATAGAAATTCAAATGTAAGTCGAAAGCCGACATCAACATCAGCATCTACCAGTAGCAGTACTGGCAGTAATAATGTTGATAGTACCACTACTGATAGCGATAGCGGTGAAGAGTAAGAGTTTGTTGGATGACTGGGATCACTGGATGAGAGAATCAGATGATAGTGATGAAGAGCTGTAAAGACTACAGTAACTGAACCCTAGTCTAACACTAACAAACAATTGTGAGAAGCAGCCAGAGACAGTTTATAATAAGTAGTTGCCATGTTTTACCAACTACATCTTAAATAATGGTCACTGTTTTACGTTGAACTGATATTCACTTCGATTGTCAAATTTCCTTTGGGTTTTTCAGTCAGTTTTGAGTTAAAGTTGGTTGGTACACTTCACAGACACAGTGCAACATTAAAGTTTTGTTTATTTAAGTAAAACGTGCGTGACAATTAATTATGAGTCAGAGCGACTGCTCAGCTTTCGTTCAATTTGACGACCTGGAAGATAACAAATACGCTTCAGTTCCTCGACGTTTCGAGCAAAAGCCTTTCATCACAACAATTGAATAGGCTGAACAAATAGGCTTATTTGACACTCCTGTGCAGGAGTGTCAAATAAGCCTATTTGTTCAGCCTATTCCTGACAAAGGTCCTGAGCCAAAATATTATGGAAACGTATTGTTTTTGATATCTTCCAGGTTGTTGGGTCAAGATAAAAACAGCGTCGGCGGGCGTGATTAAATTATTATTCACTATAACTATTCCAATAAGCAATTCAGAATTAAACATTTGTGTTTTATTATTGCAAGTAGAGTGATTCACTCAGTGCATGTCTGCATGCTTGACAGAGTTTGCTCTTTGGGGGGGAGGGGGGGGTGGACTTGGTCAAACTAAACTAAAAAAAAATGGAAATTTTGAAAATTTCCGGTCAAATTTCGTTTTGATTGGAAGTTTTTCCGGACAAATTTTAAAATTATTTCAGGCTCTGTTGCTGTGGTCTAATCATAAGTATTGGTGTGAATTTCCCTATTTTGCTCTTTCGTTTTTCAATTTAATTCTTCTTAAAGTCAGGAAAAAAGGTATTCTAACAAAATTAAACTACCAACCACAGTTTAATTATGTTTTGAAGTAGAATATTTAAGTTTTAAGAGTACAAATATAAACATTAAAGTTTCTTTTCTCCCCAGTCCTTTTTTGAAATTCAAAGTACAAATTACTGGGGAGTTATTTAGTAAAAAATATTTTCAACAGCAAAATAGCAATTTAAAAGGCAAAAAATTCTAATTATGTGAAAGTGTATGTAACACTCACATGTGTCATTCTTGGGTGCAAAAACAAGGGTATTCCTCACCATGGAGAAGAAAATACCATTGCTTTTCACAGGTAATGACAACCTTATCATCATAATTATACAGTAAAAACAACAGACACAAGAAAATAAGACAGTTTATTGAGTTTAATAAAACACATAAAGATATATACCTTATCTACAATAAATTCCTGAAAATATATTAGTAATTTTTGTACAAAATACATTATATACTCTGCAAACTGTTTGACCTTCAAATATAGGCATGTGGAAAGGGCTAATAGTATGGTATTTAACCCAACTTCCCCATTGACGAGTAAAATTGTCTGGCGTTAGACAAGTAAAAAAATAAGCAGGGCGCATTGCGGCTCAATTGGTTAACCAGAGACATTGTCAGATTTTTTGGTTAACCCACTAAGCTGCAGCGCTTCCCCATTGACACGTAAAATTGTCTGGTGTTAGGCAAGTAAAAAAAATAAGCAGGGGCGCACTGGGGACATTGCAGCTAAATGGGTTAAAAGCCAGCATAGCTATTTTTTGCATCCAGGAGAGCTTTAACAATAGCAGCATAAATTTTATGACATGCAACCATTATAGATTTCCAAAGAAAAATGCAACTGACCTACAATCCTGGACAAAAGTGTTGGGACACTCACCCTTTTCTACCTTGAATTCTAAAGGCAACGCCCCCTCCCCCTCCCCACCCCCAATTCAATGTTGAAAGTTCATAAAATTTCAGTTAAGGATGCCCCCAAATCAACATTGAACGTGGGAGGGGAGGGGGGTTTGGTTTAAACACTTATTTTGCATTAAATCGGCTCTCTCTGAAGAGAACAATAAAAACATGCGATAATTTTGGAGTGTCCCAAAGACTTTTGGCCAGGATTGGCAGAATATAGGCCTAGCTGATAAACAGTAAACAATGAAACGTAAACAACAAGATCACACTAGATGATTTTAAAACTAATTATTCATATAGTCTCGAAGATTTATTTATTGACATTGTCTAAAAATATAAAAAAAAATTAAAGTGTTTTATTATGCTATTAATGACGGAAAGCTGCATATTGCTGGTTTGTCATGATTGGGGATGTTTTCCGTCGATCTTTCTGTGAGCCAGTGAATTTGAGTTTCGCCCCCTTTTATGTCCTTTTATGAGATTATTTCGAGAAAAAATAGTGATGATCACATATAGAACTATATTCATACATTTTGGAAGTAATGTCTAGATCTAAATATAAATATAACCGCGCGCTATATATAGAATTATATAAATATTATTTCACATATGAATGACATCACCGTGAAACTATACTTAAAGCGAGGTCAAGCAAAGCTTATATTTTGGCAGAATGGTATCTTTAAAAAGTTATCATCAAAGGCTCGTCTATCTAATTACGTATAGCAGAGCTGATATCGCGAAATTTCCTACAAAGCAGCAATTTGCAGATGCGGTACTGGAAGCGTGGAAAAGTTGTGGAATAACAATATCGCACTGGGTAGTTTCCATCGAGGGTCACGCTGTCACCGATAGTAACGATGATATGAACATGTATTATTATCATATGGCTTTGAAATTGGCAAGACGAGGAGGATGGCTGCAAGTAAGATGGTTTCTGGACGAAACCTATGCTATACAGGTACATTTTAGCGACAATCACAATACCTATTATAGCGCGTATAAATACGTAACAAAAGAAGACAACGAATGTCTGCATTCTGAACAACATCCAGACTTGTCTTCTCCCCCTAAAACGGAGCAAGCATTGGCAAGTAAGAAAAGAAAAGCTAGGGAAAATAATTCAACCCATCAAAGAAAGGCCCGCAAAGAGAAATGCTTGACTGTATACAACGTTAGCCAACTTATTCTAGCAAAGAAAATAACCACGAGGTTGCAGCTGGTGTGCCTTGCAGTGGAGCAAAACCGAGAAGGCAAAAGTGCGTTGGCAGAATTCATAGCTAACAAAAACAACAAGGTTGATGAGGCATTGGAAGTCGCCAAGGAATTTTCGGAAGCTGAAGCAAAATTTCTTCGTTCAAGAAAGTCCCGCATTGAATTGTTGCAGGAAGCGAAAGAAGGAAATTGCTGTGAAGGATGGGATGGGGCGTGGCCTGAAACAGCGTTAAAAGCGCTTCGAAATAATTGCATTTCAGTAGAGGCATTCTGTACAGCTTTATATATTGCCTTAAAAAAAGGCCGGGGGAAATATCAAAATATATTTATACACGGCCCCGCGAACAGTGGAAAAACGTTTATTTTATCACCTCTTAAAATCATCTACCACACCTTCTGCAATCCTGCAACTGGCACATTTGCTTGGCAGGGGGCAGAAGAAGCCGAGGTGATTTTCCTAAACAACTTTAGATGGAGCCAAGCAGTCATTGCCTGGGCGGACTTGTTGCAAGCTCTTGAAGGAGACACGGTTCATTTGCCAGCACCAAAAAACTTTTGCAAACAAGACATTGAGCTATCTAAACAAGGACACCCCATTCTTTGCCACATCGGATGCCCCTCTTCTTCTGATAAAGGGAGGCTCTGTGGATCATGCAAATACAGAGATGATGCAAGTTAGGTGGCGGTTTTTCCACTTTTGGAAGCCAATTCCAAGATCAGATCAAATTTCCCTGAACCTGTGTGCCTCCTGTTTCGCAAAATTTGTTCTAGAAAACAGTGAACAGGAGTCACAGGACTGAACTGAAGACCAAGATATACACTTATATAAAATCATTGTCGCTTAATTTTCTGTAATTCATTGTCGCTTTCTGTTATACCGCACGTACAATAATAGTTAATATTTAGTAAAAGTTCTGTTAACGAACGTAAACAGTATAAGCTGAGACAGCCAGTACTCACTTACAGTTCTCAGTAATATTATTTGAAATTTTGCACTTGGTTGTCATGGTATATTTCGAATAATCCTCTAATCTGATTTCAGTCATAGCTGCACTTCTATTAAAATGTTTTGTTTTGTTTAGAAAGTGCATTGAATGCGTATTTTGAACAGTTCTCGTTAACACTGAGTTTATAAAATACAAAATATTGCAGTTTTATTTACTCAAGAAGTGAGAACTGTGGAAAGTCGAAAGTGAGGTACTTTATTATACAATATTCGGCTTAGCTTTGAAAGTAAATTGTATACAAAAAGAAATGTCACTGAAATTTGGTGTGGCAAATGAATAATACTATATTTATCGTGGGGAATGTTGCTGAGAAGTGTTGCTCCTGTCGACGAGAACTGTACATGTTTACATTTCATTTTGAAATTCCGGTCTCAATTGCGTAATAGATGACGTAATATTAAGCAATAAAATTAAGCTTGAATTGTCAATATTTTATTCGGAATCCCTTGGATTTAATTACAGCATTAATTCTTCCAGACATACTATCTATTGTGCGATCTATTACGTCGACGGAAGTCTTATCTAATGTATTTAAAATTCTTTTTTCAAATTCGCTGAATGATTCAGCCATGATATTCTCGCAAATAGCTTGGCGCTGTAAGTCATTTTTCACAAGATGGAACATGTTCTCTATAGGGTTTAGATCGGGAGAACGTGGAGGTATCACATGCATTTCTGCTTCGATATCTTCAAGAGCTTTCATTGCCACTTTACTTGTCTGGCAAGGGTCATTATCCAGTATGAATAAACGCCTTCCTTTTTGTTTAGGACCTGCCCGGGCAAAAGCTATACGGAAATGCTCTTTGATAAACTGTGCAAAAAATGGACCGTCCATTTTTGTGTACGGTACTCGTAGCACAACTCCTTTCCCATAAGCAATAGCGACCATTACGTGAACTCTTTGTCCACCAGGGAGCTCTTTAGATCCTTTAGTCGTAATTTCTAATCCCTTGCTTTTCTTTCGCCAAACCCTGGACTTGGGCGTCATTGCCGCGTTGAAAGGGTTATATTTGTGTACAAATGATGTGTCCAAGTAAAAGGCAACTTCGTCGCACCAAAAATTTGCATTTGGTCCCAAACAGAGTCGCTTTGTTTTTCGAGCAAAACTTAAACGTCTTTTTCTATCCTTCTCGGTTAATAACCCCTTTTTTCGAGCTTGCAAAAACCGGTATCCTAACAAGTTTAAATGCCGCGAGAATGTGTGTCGACTGGCCATCTGCAAACTTAAGCCACTTTCTTTCACTAACGATTTAACATCGAAGATAACGCTATGCTTTCTACATTTTTTCAAAGATCTAACTAAAGTCTGTGAACTTCGGGCATCAATTTTATTCGGTCTTCCAGTCTTTGCAGGTTTTGACTTCGCTTTTGGTTTGCAACCAGATTTGCATATTCTCTGCGCAGACGATTTTGAAATATTACATCTCCCTGTATGATGTTCCCGATTCCATCTTTAAATACATTGCGAGTGCCTTTTGTTCAGCTGATATTTCACCATGGTACACCATTATAAATGTACAATAAATTCTTAGCTTTATGCTGAATAGCTTTCTGCAAAGAATAACGTCTAAATTTTCTCCTCTCGTTTACAACAAATCAACCAATTATCATACCAATCAATCATTATGACGTTAGTGCGCCCGCAATGGCGCACGTCAGCGGATTTCTAAACACGAATGACGACCAACAATTTGTGACGTCAACAAGTCTCGTGAACGGTGTAATTACGGATATATGTGACATAACTTTAAAAAATATTTGCAATTCACAAGCTTTCCTATACACAAACAATCCTGGACAAAAGTGTTGGGACACTCACCCTTTTCTACCTTGAATTCTAAAGGCAACGCCCCCCTCCCCACCCCCAATTCAATGTTGAAAGTTCATAAAATTTCAGTTAAGGATGCCCCCAAATCAACATTGAACGGGGGAGGGGAGGGGGGTTTGGTTTAAACACTTATTTTGCATTAAATCGGCTCTCTCTGAAGAGAACAATAAAAACATGCGATAATTTTGGAGTGTCCCAAAGACTTTTGGCCAGGATTGTAGCAAACTTGGAATGTTTTGTTCAAGAAGCCAACCAACATGCATCATGGAAAGCAACCAATTATAGCCAAATTTGCAGTGACCACTTTGATATTACTGAGCATAGGTGTACAGGAGGGTGGGGCTGGGGGGCTGCAGCCCCCCCAATTTTTTGAGAATTTAGCAAAAATTGTCTTGTAATTCGGGCAACAACGATCTGGTGGTTAGACGAATATATTGATCCATAAAGTGGAACAGAAGTATTATTTCAACAAGTTCAACTTTTACAGGTTCAATCATGCACTGTAAATCTGTAATGGCAACGTTTGTGTGTATTTATTACTGCCATAGATCGCATAGCTGGATTCAAGCATGTTGCGTCAGGTTAACATTTATTAAAGGTCAAGTGCTCTAACTTAATCGGATTTGGTTTGGTTTACGCACATACCACAGACGTAAATCCCCACAGAAACGGGTAGAACAAAGGAATAATTGCTATGGCTACTAATAAAATGTCACTACTGTATTCATGCCTATATTCAGCAGTTTTACCTAGCATAATGCAGGCTATACAACTATTAAACTATATAAGTATATAGTATATAGCTGCACATATTGCGAAGGTGTGGTATAAGTGTGCGTAGTAACAATCGGATCAGTAATGTTTATCTCCCTTGATAGCATTGGTTGCGTAAATACTGTCTCCTCCGCAGGCCCTTCGTTGGGCACAGTGCAGTGCAATTGCAATCTATATAGATCACTGGCTGTGATATCATTGCCGGGCAATGCATGATGGGAATTTTTTCTCGTTTTCCTCTCCCCCTTTGAAAGCGACTGGGGACGAGGCAGGCGTAAATACAGTCTCTGGCCCTGGGCGGTGCACCGCGGTTATGACACACCAGTCACTGAAAATAGATACTATACAATTATAATTGACATTGACATAACCGCACAATTGCACAAATACTGTACAATGACCTAATGTGACTAATTTTAGACTTTTAGATAGACATAAAAGTGCGCGATTTTTTTACAATCATTAAAAAATTGTTGATTTTACGACCATTAACTCCACGATCGCTATAGAAACAATCGCCTAGAAGATTACAATGGCATCTCATAAAAGACAGTAGCAACATCGCGTTTGGTGCGAGGAATGCAATAAGGAAATCGACAGTGATTATAAAGAGGTGCATTCTCGATTAGTTCACAATGGTAAAAAAGTAAAATGTCATCCAGTGATGGAATCATCGGATTCATCCCAGTCGAAAATCAATACTTTCTTTGTAAAAAGTAACATGACAACCAAGAACGATGACCTGCAGTATGATCTAACCCTACTTGGAACTGAATCGAGTGGTAGCAAAGATTTTGCAGTCACGGTGTCTTATGGTGAAGTCTATCTGAGAAAAATGTGAAGGAACCCATGAGCGAAGACCAAACGGAACCAATGACAACGTTCACTGATGTTGATGAATTAAATTCACTGTCACAGCTCAGAGAAAATAGTGAACAGAATACGGTGACGGACAGTGAAAATGTTACACCATCTTTAGGTCGAAACACGGACAGGGATGCATTCCTCCTCAACTTTAATCTCTCTCTCCTTATCCTCTCCTTTTATCATGTCCCATAAAATTTCCACCTATTTTAGTTTCTACATAATCGTAATTTCCCTAGTATGTTATGTACATGTTCATCACAGGAGTTGGAGTTAAGAAATTAAGAGCAACAATTTTTGGAATAATGATCCTCTCATTATTTAGGCTACACAATGTCTTGCACCAGTACTTGTCCAATTACCCATTTTATACCAAAAAATGTTGTTACGTTAATAATTTTCTCTTTCTTTGTAAATCGTAATGCCATATATTTAGCTTATAATTGAAATGGCTAGGGACGATATATTTCTTTTTATATCAATCTTCAAGGACTCCAAAGGAAAGACTTTCATTTGCAGTCTTCTTAGATTATATAATTTTATGATGACGTCACAAAATATATGACATCATGTCAATCGGGCAAATTCAGCCCAGCCCCCCCAAAAATAATGTGCCCATACGCCTATGTTACTGAGTACATCATCCCTCCTTTGTCACATGCCGTTTAAAAAAAAGCAATACCATCAAGGTCCAATAATACATGTACAGCTCTACCACTACCAGATGAATTACAAAGCAGACTCAAAGTATCTAACAAGAGACCATTCCCTCCAACCAGTCATGAAAACCTGGTAGCACCTGCCAAAATTTCCAAACCTCTACCTGCTGAAAAAAGAGATGCATTAGAGCAAAAACTAACACAAAAAATTCGTAATTTGCAACAACAGCTACGCCGGTCTAAACAAAAGGCAAAAACCATGGATGAGGTGATCAAAATCATGAAAGATAAACTTGTTATTAGTTCAAAGGAGGCAGAAACTTGCAGGAAAACTTCAAAAATATACATTTAGAATTTTTATATAACTTTAAAGAGAATCTAACATCTTTGCCTTGCAGAAGGAGATACACAAATGAAGTTAAGGAATTTGTGTTAACTCTCTACTTTTACTCACCAAAAGCGTACAAATATGTTAGATCAATAATCCCTCTGCCAAACCCATCTTTAATCAGGAGATGGTCCACTTCCATTAAATGCGACCCTGGTTTTATTGAAGAAGCATTTACATCGCTATCCAACCAAAACTGTCGACAAACTTTTTATCCCCTTGTAATTTTGTATTTGCCCGCCCTTGTTGAGCTGGGGCGCGGGGAAAATTGCTCCCTCCCCCCTGCATGGGCGGCCCTGGTGCCGCCGCAAATTTTTTTCCGTAGACAGTCGGACTCCTCATTGATAGTCGGACGCATCATCGACTCGCACCCTTAAACAAAACATTCAGCAGATACTCTTCTTATTGGATGCGCCTTCCCAGTGTGTCTTGCGCATGCAATTAGTGATTTCAAAATATTGTATTGCTTGGTTGAGATGTCAAAATCTGAGCAGGACACATTGTGGCTTTCATATCTTGTGTGGTAATGACATCTGACATATTTTATTAAGTTATATTCGCCATTCCCACTTGCTTTTCTTTGCTTTTGTAACTTTTTTTTGTAACTCTTCTGGAGCGACTGCAGAATACCCGTCCACTTTTAAGCTATGCCTTTCAAACATCATGCATGGATACGATGTATTAATACACCTATATATATTCTCAATAGATTAATAATAAATAAATAGATTGATAGATTAAAATCCCATGGTGGTAAAGGTAGCTACGAGGCATACAGTGACTTACAGTGTATTAATAGATTAAATTGTCATAGTGTTAAAGGTAGCTCTATATTCTAGCGGATACGCAGTCAAGTAGAGGCGACAGCTAGTCAGCATTACTAGATTAAATTCTCATGCTATAGAGAGCTTTTAAGCTAAATTTAAAAATGTGCTGTAATATGTAAATATGTCCCTCACAACCGGACATTGGTGTTTGACAGATTATGATTAATTAGCGTCGCTGGGACAAGAAATTTATATTATAAAGTGTGCATACTAAACATAATATTAAACATTAAAAGTCTTCCATGATATTTCCTTTATAGTATCAATTCGTAATATTGTTTTAGTAATTAGTTTGTGTATATTAGAACGAGGCAATAAGATCTGCTATTTCGTATCCATGGAAATAGTGGCTGGGCTACATGATATGATATTACTAGTGAACTCGCTTTGAATCTTCCAGTTTTTACTTGCACGACTAGTTATCTTATCCTGATTCTCTTCAATTGGGATTATATATAGTTTTAAATCGCAATAACAGTTCTTGAGTATTTTCGGAACCAAAAAACAAGTTTGTAGATTTACTATGGCATCGCGAAGCAAATCGTTCATCTTTCTACAAGTGGTCGAAGAAGAACAACGTGGAGTGATGGATATATGGTGTACCAGTGGGTTACGCTGGGTACGAAGGGATCCATTGATAACGCACGGAGGCCTGGACGCGGATCAATGATGCATCCAACTATCAATGAAGAATCCAACTGTCTACGGAAAAAAAGTTATCATAACTATCTACCTCAAATAGGACTTAGAAATGGTGATTAAATTATTTACTACGGTATGTTATTTAATAACGAGCAAGGGTTAGGGTAAAGATTAGGGTTAAGGTATAGAGTTGGTGTTTGGAATAGGGTTAGTGTAAAGCTTTGTTACGTTTTG